TGCTGCAGAGGCAGAACAGATGTGCTAGGTAGCTCTGCGTTTGCTGCGGTTGTCAAGATACTGTTGGTTCGTCTTCGGTGCGAGAGTGTTTATGACTTAAGGCAAAAAACTTGGTCGATTTTATAAAATATGCTCTGAAATGTTACCTTCAAACTCCAAGCGAGGAATCTGAATAAATCTGGAGAAATTTGTGAGAGAGTAAATAGTGAAAACCAGCCATGTACAGTGAAATCCGGCGGGTTTTCACACCAGCAGAACTGCCCCTATGCTCATTCTTTTTGGGAGCTTTTGTTTCGAATGGATTGCCCATGATGAGATGAGACTACGTCGACACGATATCGTCGGCAGTCCTTCGAGAGGTATCCCACGAAGGTAGATTGATCGACAGAGGTGCGTATAATTAAGAACAAGAAGACAACAGAGACACAAGAGTTAGACAGATTCGGGCCGTCAGCGCGACGTAATACCCTACTCCTATGGTTTATTGGATTGTATTGGCTTCGTACGATATTGCGTGTCATCAGATGCCTTAGGCTAGACCTAGGATCCGTATGGGAATGCCCACTTGGGGACCCCTACCCCTCCTTATATGCTCGAGGGGTAGAGTTATAAAGAAAATATCCTATTTGGTATTATACAATATTTTATTGTAGTTTTACGGTGCACGTCTTGATCTTATGGACTGGACCACCTCTGATGATACAGCACATATCTTGTCTTGTGGATACCGGGAGTCATCAGCCTGTTCGGGAGGCCGTATCGTATCGTGGATTATTTACTGCTGGCTGGTTTGGTGTGAGAGAAAAATACTATTCCTGGCTGAAAATTTACGATCGTTTACGAGCAAGCGAACAGGCTGCATATCCTGTGATTCAAATTTCGGGTCAATCAGAATATATTGCAATAACTGATAGAAATAAAGCCAGATATAAATGAGGCCACGGCAATCGAAGAAATCCTACGTATTTTTGGGGGACGCTATTGGGCTGCACACTAACCTTGCCAGTGCTCAATCATTCCTATCTTTGGCGGGGAGAAAGAGATGGATTATGGAAGCATCAGATTCTTTGGGCTGCCAGGTCTGTATTACTCAGCAAGGAGACAACCAAGTTTGATGGGCTGCCAGGTCTGTAATCTCTGATGGTTTAATATTAATTTATTATGAGAGAAAAATATTATATCATGATTGATAAGTTTAAACAAACAGAGCGAGTTTCTCCTACCTTAACGAGACGATGTCAATCGCTTGTGTGTATTATAGAAAAAAAAATTGACAGTAATAATATTCCTTCGCTTGTCTTAAAGTTTAGCTTGTTCGGCTTGTTTTTTCAGCCGGAACAGTGTTTTTCTCTCACAACAATTCAACCGGAACAATGTTTTTCAACCAGTTTCAGCTAAAGTTCATACCAGCGAACGGGGCCTATATAAAGTGTAAGTATAGATGCTGACACTTACACATGCAAGTACACTCATCCCCTCTAGACGAGCGTGCACACACTATACTTTTATGAGCATAATCGGAAGATTGAGACTACATCGGTAAATTTTTAGATTGACAAAATCACCGTAAATGTCTCATCGTCGATAGGTGCGTCGTCTACCACCGAAAAAACATTGCCGTCTCAATGGTTCCCAAATAGCTAGTCTAGGAAGAATTCTTTTGGCCATTAAGGAGAGAGATTAAATAGCTAGTGACTCCCAAATAACTAGTCTAGCATAATCTCTTAGGAACAACTCACATAACCCTGCACTAAACTGTTCATTTTTTATTATTTCTAAGTCTCATGTAGCTACCTATTTGTAAATTGTCATTGAGGACACCCTTAGGACATGTTTGGTACAGCTCAACTTCACTGGTGAAGCAGCTTTTCTTGGCATTGGCTCAAAAAGCAGTTCCGGTGGTAGAACTTGAAAGCATCTAGGTCCCTAACTGGGTTTCGGTGATTAATAACGACATAAGATTACTGTGACTAATGTGTGTTTTACAGATGTAATTTGAGTTACATCATGGTAATGATGATTGTTTGGGCAATTATGGTTTTCATGCCCCTATCGATGGAAATATTTTCTGTTTTCAAAGGATGGACGACAAGGTTAAGGACGGACTAGTTCTAAGTGTCGTTTGACGTTGGAGAGACACTTAGATTAGTTTATGACTTGTTTTTCCTTTGGCCATACTATTAAGGGGAGTATGAGCAAATAGCTTGACCTAGGTAAGTCTAATGGTCTAGGTGTGGTGCACACTTGTCAAACTTAGCACTAGATAGCTCAGAGTTTTCCCTAAGATCGATTGGAGACAAACTCATTCACGAAGATGTTGAATTGGAAGTGAATGGAGTGCTCATTTACTGACCGGACGCTGGTTTGACAGTGACTGGACGCAGCAGTGTGAGTCCAGTCAGTTCATTTGCTCGGCAACAGAAGGCAGACTACGACCGGACGCTGAACAGTAATGTTCACCGGACGCACCGACGATCGCACTGTAGCAGCGTGGACTTGCTGTTGACTGGACCGGATGCTGGCAGGTAAGTGACCGGACAGACATTTCACACGCCCTGCTGACTCGGATCCACACTGGCATGAGGAGCTGACATGCTACACGAGCAAATATGGTATTTTTGTATGACTTTTCTTTCTGTGCTGGCGAAAATGTATTGCATCCGTTAAAATGCTATCTGAGGAGGTGTCCATCGCTGTAATGGTAAAAAGTTAAATCTCCCGAAGCTAGAGCTCCGCGGACTAGAATTCAATGATGGTTTTCTTGACTTCCTGAGATGTCCTGGTTGCAAGATCTACAGATTCAACACTGCAGCTTCGAGCATGCCGACAGGATCTCATCCCAGTCCTTAAGGCACCTAAGTATCAGACCAGGCAGATTCAACCAGAGTTCCCGAGGTCGAATTCTTGCCCCAAATCTAGCTTTGTTGGTGCTAGAAGTCACTGTTGGCAGGACCCCTTCAGAAAATGCCCTTGTTGGTTAAGGGAGCTATTGGAATCAGCGGGGTTTGTAAAGACTACTGTAGCCGTTCTAACTACGGGAACTGTGGTGATGAGAGCTGCGGAGGTTGCATACGGGATGACAGGATGACTCTGTGATTTTGCATGGTATGTCTCAAGCAAAGTCTTTGGTGTTGGTAGCTTGCCCTGAAAAGGTATGCTTAGACCTCAAATAATCATGTTCATGTTTATCTTTTTTCAAACATCATGTTTATATTAACGATTTATTGATTTATCTGGTTGTTATCTGTCCCAGTTCATTTTCAGAAGGGATTTGAAACTTTGCCCTACTTTTAGTCAATTGAAGTATTTAACTCTCAATGAAAACTGGTGTGTGCCTGATGTTTATCCACTAGCATGTATTCTTGAACATTCACCAGTTTTAGAGAGGCTTTTGCTTTGCCTATATTTCAAGGTAAACAATTTCAAACTGGCAGCTGTTGCATCATAGAACATTATGTAGATTGTTGGTTGATCTTGGTGAAATCTTTATGATAATGCAGAGGGAGCTACTTGAAGTTAATGAAATGATAGGAAGGTTCAATCCAAAGGAGTTACCACCAACCATATCATCACACCTTAAGGAAGCTGAAATCATTTGTGGAGGGGTTGATGGACCGTTCTTAAAGTTCTGAAGTTCCTGAGCAAACTTAACATCAGTAATTTAGCTAGCAACACTCTCACACTTTCTATATTTCTTTTGTTTGGCTTAACATATGGGTAAAAGTGGCAGGCCATGAACTCTTTATTAGTTACTAAAGCAGTGATTTGGGTATACCAAGTTATTGTGGAAATGAAAATCTTGCACCATATTTTGGTGATGGGAAGTGGAAAATACCAGAACCATTTTATTCACATGTGTCTGTACACATAGACTCATTCTCCGTGCTTCCATATTACAATTGTTTGCCTCTGTATGTGGGAAAGAGAAAGCAACAAAGTAACTTGTAACATATGTAGGAAAATGAATGAACTCAGCTAGAGTGAAAACATCTATGTCTCTGGTTGGTTTTCGGTGATTAATGACAATACGGGATTATTATGACTAACGTGTGTTTTACAGAAGCAGTTTAAGTTAGGTTATGGTAATGGCAATTGATTGGGCAATCATAGTTGTCATGCCCCTACGATGGAAATCGTTTCGGTTTTCAAAGGTAGTACGTTGAAAATAAGGCAACATTCAATTACTAATTTAATCATTAAATATACAAAAATAAAAATATATAAACATATAATTATTCAATCATATATAAAAATGTGTATTAGGAAATAAATAAATAAAGTATATAAAATAATATTAGAAATGAAAAAAAAATAATATTTAAATAAATAATTTATAGCAACAAATATATGATTCAAATTAAATCATAACAATACTAAATTAAAGTTAATATTGCTATATGCATATTAAATATTTTATCCTTAGTCATTACTCATTTGTTAGAGATAGCTTTTAAATAGTTTCACTAAACACATCATTAATAATACTAAAACTAATATCATTAGTCATAGTAAAGTTAACTTTTAAATATTTTTATCATGTGCATATTCCTCAAGAATACAAATAACAGTTGAATACATATTTGGAATTGGATAGAGAAATGTTATGAAAAGCAGATATTTAATATCCCTATATTTAATATCAATTTTAGTATCCATATCAAAAATAGAAGTGAACATGAATATCTATATTCTATATTTTATTGGAAGCAAGCAGGTGGGGTAGATCGAAGTACTCCTTCGGTCCCTTATTATTTGTTGTTTTGGGTTTTCGTGTCATAACTTTGATTAGATTTATAGAAAATACGTGTAATATTTGTATTTCTAAATAAATTTATTAAAAAACTAGATTCATAGATCTATTTAATGATATTAATTATGCATCATAAATATTAATATTTTTTATATAAAATTAATCAAAGTTATTTCAAAGATAAATACTTAGGGGCGGAGGGAGCAGTAATGTGGGGCCAATTTGTCGGTGCCCAGCTGATGCCAGTAAAATGCCCCAATTTCTATTCTGCTCGTCTCCTCCATTTCCCTTTCCCGTCCTGCCGCTGCCCGCTGCTCTAGGCTCTAGCTCGTCGCAATGTGAAGCCGCCGCGCGTTCCCGCGACACCACCGTTGCAGCCGGCGCCGGCGAGGTAAGGCTGCCACGCGGCACCCTGCAAGGCTTTCCGTCCTCCTCTTGTCTTCTCGGTTTGCCCCGGCTCCCTGACCCTCACGTCTTGTAATCGTTTCTTGTTCCACAGAGTATCGACGCCCGCCGCCTGCTCGACGGAATGCCTCCGGGGCAACCGGCCAAGAGGGCAGTACCTCCGGTGGCCGGGGGCGGAGGCAGCATAGAATCTCTGCCGGACGGCGTCCTCGAGCACATACTCGGCTTTCTTCCGTCTGCTGAGGCCGTGCAGACGTCTGTGCTCGCCCGGCGCTGGCGTCACCTCTGGAAATCCGCCACAGGCCTGCGCATCGGGTGCCTCCTCGCCGAAGATCCAATGTCCGTGGAGGAGCATCGGAGCCTAGTGAATCATCTGCTGGTCCTCCGCCAAGGCTCGCCTCTCGAGGCATGCGATTTCACAATTGGAGACTTCAGCGGCGGGGACGATGTGCGTCACGTGAACCTCTGGTTCCGGCAGGCTGTGATCTGCAGAGCGCGGATGCTAAGGATATGTATGGTTAGTGATTGGCTTGAACTAGACAACCTACCCCTTGTGTCTGAGCACCTTACGAAGCTGCAGCTTGATGGTGTGAGGGTGCACAACAGTTTGCTTAATTTCTCAAGATGTCCGCTGTCCGGCACTGGAATATCTAGAGATTGTCTGCTGCAATTTGTCTTCGGTCACGAAGATCTCGTCTGACTCCGTCAAATATCTGCATATCAATGCTTCTGTGCTCAGCAGTGATTCCCGCATTCACATTTATGCCCCAAATCTGGCTTCACTGCGCCTTGTTTACCTCCGTGAGAGGACTCCAATGCTTTATAGCATGCCATCACTAGTGGAGGCAGTTGTCACAATAGATGAGGCGTGTACGGATCACTGCAATGGCGCAAACTATGAGACTTTTGATTGTGAGTCCTGTGATAATTGTGATAACATGGCTGATGGCAGTAGCAACTAAGGATGAAAACGGAACGGAAATATCCTGAACCGAACCGCATCGTTTTCTATATTTAATCCGATCGAATCTGTATTTTCTTGTCCGACTTTACCGTTTTCGCTTTCGCATTTGAGATGTTTCGTATTTCAAATGTAAAAGTAGAAAACGGTTTACACATTTTTCGTCCGTTTTCTACTTTTCTACTTTTAATTTGAAATATTCCGAATTCAAAATTCGGTTTAAACCGAATTTGGCCAATCGCACAGTGTCATATCATATTTACCAATTACAGTTGCTCCACCAAATTGCGTTCTTTCTACTGGTGAGTAGCTGCCCTCTTTTATAGACGGCGCCTAGCCTCATCTCTTTTATTATGTATTTGGTCGTGCATTTGTTTAATGCTATGCACTTGAACTAGATCATGCACTTGTTAGTTGTGAACTTGTTATGTATTTGGTCGTGCATTTGTTTAATGCTATGCACTTGAACTAGATCATGCACTTGTTAGTTGTGAACTTGATGCTATGCACTTGAACTAGATCATGCACTTGTTAGTTGTGAACTTGTTATGTATTTGGTCGTGCATTTGTTTAATGCTATGCACTTGAACTAGATCATGCACTTGTTAGTTGTGAACTTGTTATGTATTTGGTCGTGCACTTGTTTAATGCTATGCACTGTGGGTCGGTATTTCGTATTGAATTTTCGCATACCGACCGTGTTTGACATAATTCAAGCTCAATTGGTTCGCTTCCGAAATTCTAGATATTCCGTAGTTCGTTCGTGTTCAGATTTCAAATGTAAAAGTAGAAAACGGTTGAGGAGTTTTTCGATCGAGTTCGACCGTTTTCATCCTTAGTAGCAACAGCATTCTCCTGAAAGGTGTTTCGGAGGCTAAGAATTTGGCGCTGATTTCCAGATCTGAAATGGTATACCACTATACCTACAATTTCATACCTTACCTCTAATGCACTATTAAGTCATTCAGCTTCTGCTGCACTATCCATATCATCTTTGGAACTCTGGGAGCTCTCTGCACTAGGTACGCCCTTTTATTCTTGCTATTTGATAGATATCACCTAAGCAGCCTTTGTTTATTTGCATGCATTACCATCACCAATGGCTAATCCTGAATCTATCATGTTCATAATGACAACCATTGCATCCTTTCTCCTTGCTCTTTATGCAGTTTATTATTTTCAAAAGGGATTTGAGATGGTGCCCTATGTTTCAAAAGTTGAAGACCTTGCTGCTCAATGACTATTGGTGTGTGCCTGATGACTTCCGTGCATTAGCTTGTATCCTTGAACACTCACCCGTTCTAGAGAAGCTCACTCTTCAACTTGGCCCAGAGGTTCAGACTTTATAAATGCTCAATGCCTGCATAGTAGAATTATTACATATCAGTTGATCCTCCTGAAATGTTTTTGTTCTGTGCAGATGCCGCAACCTAAAGTGGAGATGAAACTATGTGTCAGTTCGACAAAGAGATCAGCTGCAATTTCAGAATACCTTAAGAAAGTGGAGCTCAAGTGTGAAGTAGTTGATGATAGCGTTCTCAAAGTTTTGAAGTTCCTGTCTACATATAACATATGTAAGCTAACTGGCAATGCTCCTTGTGCTTCTATATTTCTAACATTTACCATCACATTCATTTGTGTGAAAGAAAGTATGCTCTAAGTTTGTTAGAAAATTATATGAATGACAGGACCTAGGATGCCAAGTTAGAGATAAATTTAAACTTTGTGTTGTATGGACATTTTGTTGACAGATAGCATCAATGTATCTAAATATTGAATTGCATGATACAGGCAGTAAGAGAGTATGCTGATATCTAGAGTAGTTCCGAATGTTTGATTTGTTGATTAGTTTGGTATGGACACAAACGACTAAAGTGGGATGCTCTGGTTACATTTTCAGTTGTTGATTAGTTTTTGAATAATATCACAAATATTTACATGTTTATTGTTCTAAGCAGACTTATGAGCTTCAATTATCTTTCTTTTTGCTAGGGAATTTGTACATAACTTCTTTATCACTTATGTATCAGGATTCTTTTCTTTTGTTTCCTTTCCCTTTTTATTTCAGTTTTTCTTTGCTCTGTGCCTCTGCAGTTGCTTTTGACACTAATCTGACCTCGATCTCATATATGTAGAAGTATTTATTCCCCAGTGTTTTGATTTAACGTTTCTTTTTCAAGGGATGCACATTTCTGAAAAAAACACATGTGCTGTTACTTTTGCTCCATTGTGTTGCATCTGAACAAAACATTAAAAAATTTATTGATCCCTTCTTTTTGAAAGTTTGAACTCTGATGTGTTGAGAAAACCTTTTCATTTCCGAAGAAGAGTATATTGCTCATGTGTCTCCTTTATTATGGACAACGTAGAATAGCCACCATAACAACAACAACAACAACAACAGTAACAAAGCCTTTTAGTCCCAAGCAAGTTGGTGTAGGCTAGAGTTGAAACCCAACATGAGCCCCTAGTCACGGTTCAGGCACGTCAATAGCTGCTTTCCAAGCACTCCTGTTGAATAGCCACCATAATAAACAAATGTAATCCCAGAGTTTGGTCACATGCTGTTTTAGTGAGACCTAAATTCTATTTAGATTCCATTGTAAGTTGGCATGCAGGCTCGCAGATAGATACAAGTTCATAAAGGTTTGAAACTTATTCAGCAAGTTCAAAATTTTCAATAATCAATACTGATGCTGTGTACAGAATAGAGAGCACATATACCACAGGAAAAGATTAAATTAACTACACCCAATCAGTTTTGTTAACCTCAACAACCAATCAGTTTTGTTGTTCTTCTTGGAAGAAAGGCCTGGCCTACCATATAGTCTTGTAGCAACCAAACATCTTGACGGATGTACTTTTCCTCCATTCCAGGTCGCAGTCCTTTCTGATAACTATTAGATATTGAGAAAGAAATGGTCAATTAATTCTAGCTTGTCACACATAGACCAAGTTTTGCTTCCTTCCCATACACAACTACTTAAATTGTCTCTACAAGAAATATATAGTTTTTACTTACTAACTAACCGAACAACCGAATTTTCAAAGATAGGTTTGGTTTTCTCAACCTTTTCATGTTCTTTTAGGCTTAGTGTTAGAGTATGTCATGGGCCTATTGGGCCTGGGCTGGCGGGATAACCCATTAGTGTTAGAGTTAATTAGAGATAAAGGTCGCTTGCTTAGGAGTCAAGTAAGCCTTGCTTGGGAGTTAAGTAAACCTCTCTATATAAGGAGAGATGTATCAATCTAATCAAACAAGAATTAAGAAGGAAATCCCTTCCCTCTTGCTCGGCCATGGGCAAGGCCCCCGGCCAGCCTTCTCTCTCCCTCGCAGCCCCAGCCGCTGCATAACAGCCGCCGCCATGGGTACTGTAGCACGACAATCGCCGCCGCTCCCTCGACTCGCCCCCCCTCAACCCTAGCAGCCACATAACACTTAGCATATAACCTTTTTCTTAATAATGGTCTAATTTTAGAACTGCTAGAAGGTGGCCACTGCCAATGGAAATAGTAATTTTTCAATCAATTGCAGATAATTGCATTTATTTAGAATCTGACTGAAATAAGGAATTTGTTGTCTGGTTAGTAAATCTAGTAATATCCTGAGCAAGAAAGAAATTTGGTCACACAAAATCTGACAATTCAGTTGAATTCTTCTCAAGGGGCTATAGCTAGATGTATTGAATTCACAAAAGTCTTTAACAACATTTCAAGTTTCTTTGTCTAGTAACACATCTTATCATATATGTATATAAACTGATTCTGTATTCTCATTTTGTACAGATTTTAGCTTTGAGTAAAGACAAAGACGTGTATAAAAGTTTGGTTGATGAGTGTTGATGGATCTGCTGTCTCATTGTTACGAAACACTAGTCCTAAGGCTTCACTGCAACAACGGGTAATTGGGTATTCCTAGAGTCAGTTCTAGAACTGTAGTCATTGGAACGTGTATTGGCAGAATTAGTGTCCAGAACTTTGGATTACCCTAGATGGAGCTGTCACATAAGGTCATGTTTCTGATTATTATGCTTCCAGCATACCTTGATTCTAGCATTAGACTGGTAAGATGGCCTCATCATGTGAACTTATTCATCTCTCTAGATTGAAATTGCATTGAACATTCGGCAAACAAATTGCCAAAGCTCAGTCTGACGGTCTCTGTTGTCCAAAAAAAAAAAGATTAAGATGAGCCATCCTATTTTGATCTTCTCTTTGTGTCACGAGTACACCAGCAGGGAGCCCTAGGGCCAGCTAGGGGAGACGGTGGCGCTGGCAGCAGGAGGGGATGGATGGATGGAGGGAGGGAGGGAGAACTTGCTTGCCTTTCGTTATGAAATTGCCCTGACCTATATATATAGGGGCTTACAAGAATACTAATGGACTTTGAGCCTCTCAGAGCAAGGCCAATAATAGAGCCAAGTGCTTGGCTATAAGTCAAGTTATAAGAGCCAAGCCATACAATAGTTAGTCTTCTATTTGTCTAAAAAAATTCTTTATTATTATATGTTTGCATTCTCTTTCCTATTCATCCTCACATACCTATGCTTCCGTGCCCAGCTTGTTGCTTGCATGAGAGCCAAGCTTTCTTCTCTCCTTCCTTCTCTCTTCCACATCAGCAAAAACATTGATTAGCTTGGCTATAAGCCAATTGTTGTACTTGTTCTCATAGATAGAGACCATGACCCTTACTACTACTTTCAATTCTAATCTATAACAGCTGGGTCTAGGTTCCTCCCTGTTAATTTAGCCCACTAACATGTTTGGGCGTGTTCTCCTACTGTACGTCTTACCGACCATGACATCTCTCCTGCCTGGAGAATGAGCTTGTCCTCGAGCTAGACTGTTGGATATAGTTGTTTGATCAGCTCTGCCTCCTCCCATGATGATTCTTTCCATTTGATCAACACCTATGGATTACCTCTACGAAGTCGAGCTTTGATCATTTTTTTTGTTTCTAGTACTGCTGCTCCCTCGTGCATTGTAGGTAGTGGTGGAGGAGTTGACAGCGGAAGCCCTCTATATTTCTTAAGTAGACTCACGTGAAAGACATTGTGGATGTGAATATCTGAAGGGAGCTCAAGGGGGTATGCTACAGAGCCAATTTGTTCACTGATCCTATAGGGGGCAAAATATTTTGGAGATAACTTGCCTTTTTTAGTGTTGATATGGCTACTGCTAATCATGCCATTAGTTTCAGCAAGAGATTAGTTTCATGCCATTAGTTTCTGCTTACCGGGTTCAATCATAGCCGGGTAGTTTGCTTACCCATTGGTGTTGCAGTATTGTTGACAGGTGTTGATCTAGAATATATTTGAGGCTGCAGTGATATGATATAATTGTAAAGGTACATCCCCATAAATAAGGTCGCCAATGTTTAACTGTTGTCTAACCCGATTAATTCCGTTTCATATCCTGGTAGTTTGGAGTGTCACGGCACTATACTTCGACTGTAGAAGGTCATGGCTCCTGTCCCCTGATGTGGTACTACTCCAAACCCGCTTGATGAGGCATCACTATTCTATTATGAATGATTTGTCAAAGTCTGACAGTTGCAGAACTGGTGTTGTAGATAACTCCTGTTTTAGCTACTAAAATGCCGACGAGGCTGACTGAGTCCATATAAACCCATATTTATTGAGCAGTTGGGTTAAGATGTGCAACTATTTCACTTCTGTTTGTAACTAAGAACACTGAAAGAATTTATGATAGAACCAATTAATAACGATTATGTGTAAAGAAATAATGTTAAAAGCAATATAGTCTCTCCTTTTTTACATGTTACATTAGATTTGTCCTAAATCAAACATTACTATCTTTGACTATTATTATTTTTAAAATATTTATAGTTGTACAACATATGATTATATATTATGACTATTTTTATAGTGAATCTAAAAACATAAATCTAACACGACATGTAAATAAAAATGAAGGGAGTAGTGTTGATATATGTGTGAAGTGGAGTGTATATATGTAATCACTTGTGTATGTGCATCTCCATCTCCGAGTAATTACAAATGGATGGATTAAATTTTAATGGGCTGTTATAGGAGAACCAAACAGATTCCGAAAATGTTATTTTTATAAGAAGAAATAAAGTACAAGGCCACCCTAATGAGTTGTACCTCATTTCAAGCCCAAATTTAACATGAAAAGAACAAGCTTCCTAACATAATGATGGCCTGATGGGCATGAAAACTGTACTACAAGGATATGGGGACCACTCGAAAAAAGGCCCTACTGAGGCCTGAGTGACTGTCAGTTTGAAATTGGCCCAAAGCTAACTCAGAACTAACACGTTTAGTTATTTCACTTCAGTTGTTTCTTAAAAAAAGTTATTTTTCACTTCAGTTTGTAGCTGTGTGGTTCCTAAACGATGAACAACCAGCTACCGTTTAGTTATTATTCAAACTAAACATCCATTTAAATGAAATAAACAGTTGATTAAATAAACCCGATGACTATTATGTATACCATGTAGACAGTATTTAAACGGATGCAATGACCGTATAGCAAACACTCAGTTCTTTTTTCCCTCGCTAACTCTTCATTGTAGCCAGGCTGGGCCTAGCCCCAAAATTAGGTAAGGGCATGTGCCTTTATAGTTTCACGAAATAGTGCTCATTCCTACCAGAAAATATGAATATGTTTGGATCCTCACGGTTCCCTTTGTGGGTTCCCCTTGTAGTCATATTTATTTATTTTTTGGATGAGATGGACAAAGTTTCTTAAACCTATCTTTGCATATTTTAGTTGCCTCTATCCTAGAAAACG